CCCCCCCCCCCCCCCTTCTCCGGTCCTAATTTCTTTATTTTGCACTTTCTCTGTCTTGGCGATCAGCACAGAAAGAGCAGTTACAACCTGTAATTAAAACTAGGGTTTTATGCATTGTACATCATTATTTATTCATAAAACAACGTTAATTACTCAAATTCCATTAGTTAATCAGCTTCCGCGGCCTTGTTTGGCCAATTTGAATAGTTATAAGTTCGGCAAAAATGATGCAGTGTCTTTTATAAGCTCGATTTTAAATAACACTGATATTATTAAGTCTCGTTCGCTGCGCTCACTCGTGAGATATCATGTTCAACACTCGAAATAAATCTGGTATTTCCGCGCACCCATGTATTATTCTCTATTTATTAAGGTGGCTAGAATCTGCGAGTTTGCAATCTTACACAACAATTGCAACGTCGTAGGGTCTTTCAAAAATTGAGCAACAAGTAAAGAGCTAAAAATAATCGTCAGAGTCAGAGAGCCATAGAAGCATGACCGCCCCGCCATCTTAAAGGACAATGGCAACAAAAAATTAGTTTGTATCATTTAAAAGGACTTCAGAAATAATTACTAAAAACTTTTTACATTTTATCTTGTTTTAAATGTTTTTAATTAATCATTTCTAAATTTGAAATAGCAACCGGAAACGAGTTTCGGGCTCATACTGATCACTGGTGTCAAGATAAAAAAAAATGCGTGATCCCACTGATCAGACGTTACGCCTAGTCTACAGGGCAGGAGCTCGCTGGATGGGGTTGGGCTACTACCGTTGTATTTAAACTCGTTGAACTGGATACTGCTGTCAGTTCTGTGTATTCCGTTGGTTCTGTTTATGGTACATTATCTTAAGCATGCAGGTAAGGTGTTTAATTTAGAGAGGAATGGATCATCAGTCTTAGTTTACCCAGTAAACGTAGTGTGTTTAAACGACCATCAGTCTTAGTGTGAACGTATAGTCTAAGGCAACTTTCACACTAAGCCGGAGTGGTTTGAAAACAGTGCAGAAAAGTCACGATTAGCCGTAGCGTTCTCACTACGCCGACGCGAAATTGTTTGAAAACGTTAGTGCTAATTTAATTTTTAAACAAACTGTAACGGCGTATAGTGTGAACACGTAAATTCTACTGGCACTATTTCGCTCCGGTGTAGTGTGAACATAGTCTTAAGGTACGTTTACACGCTGCGATTTGTCGGGCCGATTTTGCTCGCTGTATGTAAATAACCTGTCGTGAGTACTCGCGCCATGCAGCGCCTTGCGATTCACGAAATCGGGAGAAAAATCTGTAACAAAACACAGATTTTTCTCACGATTCAACGATTTTTCTTCCGTTGTAAAATTGTTGAAAACTTTTCGCACGCAGAAAATTATAATATAAACAGACGAGAGAGCGGACAGCTTCAATTGAACGTTTAAATCGCTAAATGTCGAAGAAAGGGCAACGATTATTTATCACTGAAAATCGGCCCGTCAAATCGCAGCGTGTAAACGTAGCTTTAATGTTTCAAACAGTTTTTTCTGAATTGTTTTCGGGGTTTTTTTGCCTAGAAAATACCGGTTGAATCATTTTAAAAAAACATCAGTTTTTCCGTCTCACCCTATAGTATAAACGCTGGCTGACAGACAGGAGGATGCCTGACTATCGAGTTAGGATTCATAATAATTCGAATTACTGCCGATCATTGCATTTTCTTGTAGCTATTAACCTTATTTTGTTTGATGTTAAGGTGATTCATCAAATTCTAATAACAAATTCTAGCTAATATATTTAGTCGAACAGCAATGTAAAGTGATAAAGAAAGAGTAAGGGCAAAGAGAAAAACACTCTGTGTTAATCACTAGATGTCTTATATAGACTAGATAGCGCATCTCTTTTAGTAAAATTGAAGCCAAGAATATTCCAGCGGTTACCCCATAGATGGCGGCCATGTTGGTGTTTCCCACTCGCTAATAAACGCTTAAAAAACCCGATAACTTTCATCATTTGAATAGTTCAAAAATGTATTTGGAATAGCTTTACCTTAATATTGAAGTTCCGTGTTTAAGAAATAGAAAACATACGAATCTTCTCATTTCATGGGAATCAGATCCTGAGTCTGCAATATCTATGGCGTTAATTAGTTAGGCGTGCTTCATGGAATATACAGTATACCTTCAAAAATGACTTGAAATCTACAGTGTATCAATGTATGCGTATTTGTTTTAAATTATGAGGAATTTCTCTTCAGTTTTCCGCAGAATCTTAATTGACACTTTCCCAAAATATGTGCAAAAATAAAAAAGCTTGCGCAAAAATTGACATAAAAATCAAGCCGTGCAGATTTTCTTTCAATACTACATTCGCAAAATCTGGTTAAAAATATTAAAAGCGAAAAAAATCGTATTTGTTAACGCATATTTCATATTTTAAAGTAAATTTTGCGTCCAATTACAAATATCCGCAGAAAACAGGAAATTAATTAATCAGAAAATGTTGACTTAACAGCGCAAATAACGGTTTGCTGGTCGGATCATGCGGAATATTTGTATTTTATACGATTTTTTCCGCAAAGCCAAAGACGTGATAAAAAAATAAGGTTTTAGAGCCAAGTTAGGTTAGATTCTCTAAATTAATAAAAGATAACAGAATATTGATCGCTGGAAGCTATGTCTATGAAAGGGTTCAGAATTTCTGAACCGAATATCGAGGGCTAAGAAAGTTAAAAGGGTTCAAATTTTCTGAACCCTAAAAATCTAAAATCAATGCCACATAAGCGGAATATCATGTTTACGGCTAAGATAGCTAAAAGTGGTTCAGAATTTCTGACCCTGAAAATCTGAAATCCGATGAATATAAGCGGAATATTAATTTAACGGCTAAGAAAGCTAAAAGGGTTCAGAATTTCTGACCCTGAAAATCTGAAATCAATTAATATAAGCGGAATATTTACGACTAAGAAAGATAAAAGGGGTTCAGAATTTCTGAACCGTGAAATTAAAATCTGAAATCAATGAATATAAGCGGAATGTTTACGGCTAAGAAAGCTAAAAGGGGTTCAGAATTTCTGACCCTGAAAATCTGAAATCAATGAACATAAGCGCAATTATTATATTCATGGCTAAGAAAACTAAAAAGGGTTCCGAAATTTTGAACCCTTAAACTAATTTGAAATCAATGCCACATGCATCATGCATAAGCGGAATATTTATACGGCGAAGAAAGCTAAAAGGGATTCAGAAAAAGGGGTTCAGAATTTCTGAACCCTGAAAATCTGAAATATAAGCGGAATATTTACTGCGAGGAAAGCTATATATATAAGGGCTAAAAAATCTGAAATCAATGAACATATATAAGTGGAATATTTACGGCGAAGAAAGCTACAGTAGAAGTGGTTCAGAATTTCTGAAACCTGAAAATCTGAAATCAATGAATTTAAAAGCGGAATATTTACTGTACGTGGCTAAGAAAGCTAAAAGGAGTTCAGAATTTCTGAACCCTTAAAATCCGAAATCAATGACAACGAATATAAGCGGAATATTTACGGCGAAGAAAGTTAAAAAGGGTTGTTGAAAATGTTAAAAATTTTGGAAAAAGCTTGCCAAAAATTGCAAATCTCAGAACGTCTCCAAGGTGGTGTTCCAATATTTTCAAATGTTCGATTCTTCTTATACAAGAAATTTTAAACCAACCATTTAGATTAACAAAGGTCTATTTCAACTGCAGTCCATGCAAAATGTGATGAACTATAGCTTTTTTTATGAATATGATTATAATTTTAAATAATATAATGGCCAGAAAGTTAATTGTAATGTGATGCACAATTCGCGCATTTCATGTGAAATTAGCAAACTTTTATAAAACTCTGGATACATTTGAAGACTAGTTAACATTCTAAAGTTCGTGCGCGTGTCGACATTGGTAAGTTTCTGTGATAAAAATCAAACAGAAATAAAATATTATGATCCAATCTTTTGTGGGAAAATACATTATTAAACTTTATATATTATTACTATAATATTAAAGGGGAAATAGGTTCTATAATCATAAACTTTATATTACGAGGTATTATTTACTGTACTTATCGTCATATCCTATTTATCAACTGAGAAATTATCTATACTACAATAGTGAGAAAAATTTAAATATAAGTCTATTAACGAGTTACTCAATTTGCGCCGATTTTAATACAGATCGCATTCGAACGCACAAACATCAGTTCCTATCCTGAATATAATTCATAATCTAAATAGAAAATATGTGCGCTGAGAAAGACCAGATTGTTTAGACTTTAGACTTCAGAGGAAACCCACGCAATACTGGCAAGAAAGGTACTGGCAAAGATTAAGTATATAAAGATGGCCGACTCGCGGAAAATCTTGTCCCCACTTTTTCACTGCGCATGCGTGAGAGTCTGGTAAGCGCCGAACCAAATACATACAAAAATTTGGTTCGGCGCTTACCAGACGAAACGCGTGGAAACTGCGTGGGCTTTCGAAATGGGGACACCGAGAACAAAGGTGCCGACCGCGAGTCGGCCATCTTTATATACTTAATCTTATAATATTTGTGGTGTTACTCTGAGTGTATATCCACACCGGGCGAGCTTGAAAAATATGCCCGACCACGGCAAGCTTGCAAATTGATTGTGTGCAAATCAGAACACTGCGTGTATTGGTATCTCGTCGGCCTTTGGAAGGAAATAGCATTTGGAAGGAAATTGGGAGGAAATATTGTTATAAGGGGGGAAATGAGAAGGAAATTCTATTTCATCTCATAATTTCTATGAATAAGGCAATTTTCACACAAAAAATGCCGTAAATGCAGTCCTGGAGTCAGTTGTTCAAGGCTGGGTTAGCTTAACCCTAGGTTAACCTAAGATTCAAAGCAAACTTCCTGACAGCTTGTCTATAAATTTGGAAATATTTCTTCAGAGATCTTGTCTGCATCGATAGGAGTTTATTTCTCTGAAGATTTGAAATAAACAGATATGCAGAAATACACAAACTAAAACAGCAGGTTAAATTTTAACCCAGGGTTAGCGCTAACCCACCTTTGAACAACAGGTCCTTGGAGGCTGGAGCATCTACGACAGGACCCCAGCATCCCTATATTGAAATATCAACCCAACCTCGTACCCAGGGTATTATTTCTCAGACTCTGCTTTGCGTTAGTAGGAAAGACCCTAGGGATTTCTTGTGTGTGTCCACTATCCAGTGGAGAGATGCAAGAAACAGTTATGGAATCTCTTTTCCCTCCCACGGCAATGTAGCGCCCCAATTATTATGCTTTTTCTCCTGATTTTGATGAGCTGATTTTAACCTGCCAAATAAAGAGTTATCTGCTATAAATTAATATAATGTATTTCAATACTAGAGTTTTGATGTTAATTACCAGGTAAATCTCAAAATCTGTCAATTCTGATAAAAATTTTGGAAAGAAATTTTGCGGAAAAATTCGGAAAAAAAGGAAATTTCGGGTTATGGAGAAGGAAATTATTTTTTTGGGAGTGGAAACACTGGAACACACAGAAGTAGGAGCACACAGGAGAGACTACATAATATACATAATAACTACATAATAAAACATAATTGTTGGATAACCAATTTATTCATTCGTCTGAGAAAGTATGTCCTTTTTCACGTATACAATAACAATGTCTTATATGTCTTGCACGGGAAACCATAAAACCCAAACTCTTTGATCTTTTGTTAATCGAGGCATATTCGAAAGGCGAACGAAGACCAACTTTATAATACGAACTCCCATGCAAACGACGTCAAATATGATTTCGAACGTTATTACATGTTTCATGCTTATTTTGCTTCCCGAGAAACACGACTAAGGCTAACTTATACTAGGACATTACCCGAAATTAAAGTTGATTTCAGATGCTAAAATTGAAATTGTTAATTTTTGTGGAAAATGGCTATTGTTTTCATATAAATTTGATCAGCCATGTTTCTCGATTTTTTTACTCATTTTTAAAGCGTGCGCCAAATAAATATTTTCCCACCGTAATTTATTAACAGGTTTTTGCGCGAACTTTGCCTCAGCATTAGATATGATATTTAAGTTCTGCATACTAACATTTTCCAGTCGTCAGAGCAAGCGCCCTTCACCTCTGAGATTGTAGGTTCGATCCTCACATCGGGCTTAATGGCAGTTCAACAGAGTCAACGCTCTGCCGAAAGTCGAGGGTTTTCTCCGGGTAGTCCGGTTTCCTCCCACCGCGAATGTTGACAGGGTGGGTTCATGGGTTGGGGATTAGCTTACTGACCCTTCCACCGTAGCTGTGCTCCTTGATCTGACACGAGTCATAAGGTAGCGGTCAGAGGTGTCCTTTAGAAAGCCTTAGAATCGATCAGGTTGAGCTGCGTCCTTCGCAATTCAGCTTAGCTCTCAGCTGCAAGTACGGATAATTAGCACACCTCACTTACATTCTAAGACTTATCATGAGATGTAATTTTCTCGAGTGAATGCTTCCAAACCGTCTTCTGCCTCTGTGCGCTTTAGTGAAAGCCATTATTAGGAATTTTAACTCTACCTATTTCTAACAGAAACATTCTCTTTTTTCTAGGGCCGCACTCATACATCAACATCAAAAACCAAGTAAGACTACGCTAGTATTCCAAATATGACCGTCTCTAGTTTAACTAACAGTTCCTGCCCTGCGCTAGCAGAAGCCACGAATGGAGAAAAAGCAGCGAAAACATTGGCATACGCCCTCGTCATCTTCATAGCGTTTCTCGGCAACGTTCTTGTAATTGGCGTTGTTTACAAAAACAAAAAAATGCGAACTATCACGAATTTTCAAATCGTCAATATGTCCGTAGCTGATATTTTGATCACTGTGGCCGCAATGCCGGCTGCGGTTTTTCAAATTTACCAAGGAAGTCGTTGGCCTTTTGGATTGGTCCCTTGTAAGCTGGTCGTCTTCTTACAAGGTATGTCTAATGTCTTATTGAAAAATATTTTTTCAAAAATTTCAGTTTTAATGGTCAATTGCAATGGTCCCATACAGTGACGAGATGCCCGTATAGCTGATATCTCATAATGTCCCACTGTCGTCTTTTCATACCTCCATACCTCCATACCATCCAGTCGTGATCCAGTGACCAGAATGTTCCATTGCCTTTTCATTAATTGTTTTTAAAATCCCACTGTTCTCCATGTCATCCAGTCACGATCCAGTGATCAGAATGTTGCATTGTCTTTTCATTTTTTTTGAACATTGCACTGTTCTCCATGCCATACAGTCACTTAATGTCTTATATTTAACAATTATTGAACGAGGTTGAGCATGATATGAAGAATTATCAAGGCCGAAATTTATTATTTTTAGGCATTTCAGTATCGTGTTCCGTATTTACAATGGCGTGCATCGCAATCGATAGATTCTGTGCGACCCTATTCCCTTACAAGAAATACATAGACCAACGCCGTTGTAACATCATGATTGGCTTATGTTGGTTTTTAGCCGTTCTCCTTCAGTCCCCCACTTTATATGCGATGAAGATCAGTGTGGCCGCGAACCAAACTTCCTGCATAGAAGACTGGGAACCACTCTTTGACAATGAGTCGTCGCTTAAAATATACACGGTTATCCTTTTTGTCTCTATGTATCTGTTCCCTTTATTGGTAATCGCCATTCTATACACTGCTATAAGTCATTTCCTGTGGCGGCATAAGACCCCGGGCAGTGGTCTGGCCAAGGCGCGAAAGGACAGATCAAAAGCTGCCAAAGTTATAAAAATGCTGGTGATAATTGTCGTCGTTTTTGCGGCATGTTGGTTGCTGATATTTGTGATACAATTCTTGCAGTTTTTTGCTGAGCCAAGATGTGGAGTTTCGCCGTATTTATCTTTCACTGGTTTCTTTTTATCTCACGCGAACTCGGCTGTTAACCCAGCAATATACTGGATATTTAATGATAATTTTCGTGCTGGTTTCAAGCAATTGTTGAGGTCTTGGTTTTGTCCTTCGTGACTTGTGTCGCGATCAGTCACAAGAGACAGTGATGAGAGTGTCGAGATGCAGTCGACCCTGTGAAAGGCCTGAGAACTAGTTGGATGTAAATCCCCGGAAAACGAGGACGAGAGTCAGCAGTCACGTACACATTCTCGTACCCAGAGCCCTTCTTATGCGCGGTGCGACGAGGGGCTCTGGCCAAATCCATATCAAACTGGCATCTGATTGGCTACAACGAAGGTTATTGTTCTAATACCGGATATATTCTTTTACCATGTTTTTATGGTACCCGGTTTTGGATTTGGCCAGAGCCCCTCGTCACAGCGCGTAAGAAGGGCTCTGGGTACGAGAATGTCACGTACAGTGTATTGTTACTGGGGACATTTCAAGCGTTTCAAGTTAAATAGAATGCATGATAGTGTAAGATCAAAAGATTTAGAATCGTAAACTGCGTCAAAGAATACCAACATTGTATTATAGCTTAGCCTAGGACAGTTTAGTACTATTTTAGATCACAGTATAGACACTTCCCCAATTTCCTTGAGTGCACACAAAATAATGCCTTGAAATCGAGGCATTCTACATGTATATTGCCAGCCAGGAAATTCATGGAAGTATCTGTTAAAAAAATGATAACTACAGTAGTGTAATATAATTGTGGAATGGGTTAATACCGAATCGAGATTAAATGTAGTTAGTTGAAGATGAAGCCATTTTTTATGGTCAAAACTTTATTGGAAGTAGGAAGTCTCTATATATTCTAGTGTAAACAAAATGAAATACAGGGTGTATAAAAAAAAGGGAAACGAACTTCAGCGCACTATTGTACGTGAATTACTCGGCGTATGAACAAAATGTTTCCATAGCTATTAAATGACGTGTTTTTCATGCCAAGTGGAGAAAAAATAAGCAAGTACGAGTCCGATAAAAATGGAAGTCAGAATCGCATATTTTCACCTCTGTGCCTAATAAAAGCCGTGCATAACGAAAGAAAAAGCAATTAATCACGAACTTGTCACAGCTCAGTATTCTCTTCACAACCCGGCTCACAATCATGCTCAGTTTAATTAAGGATTGGGCATAATGGTGATCCAGCGCCTAAAGCCTCTTTTTCACTCATCGCCAAACCAACTCGTAAGCTCGCTGCGAGTGATTGCATCTAATTAAAATAAACTTTCGAGCATTGTGATTGGATATGAAAGTACTCGCAGCGAGCTTGCAAGTTGGTTTTTACGATGAGTGGAAAAGAGCCTTAAGCCAGGCTTGGATGGCGTCATATGATGGCGTATTTTCACGTCAGCACTCGTAAAATTTCGGACGAAATATCGTCTGAGTGACCCTTCACGAGGTCTAGTATCTATTCTGTGATTTAATCGCAGAATAGAAAATAGACCAGAAGCCTCACTGTACACCTTTCTCTAACATTTTCGTGTCCACGACTAGTTTGCCTTGCGGATCACGAATCGCACGCTAGATGACGTGTGTGACAATCGTTGTCGTGTTTTATCAGATATAAAACGCTCGGCTGCGCCTCGCGTTTTATATCTGATAAAACACTCCTACTCGTATTTTAAATAGTACGTAATTGTCAGTATTGTGTTTGATGTTATATGTAAACAACGAGTTTGAGTGTTTCATCAGGGGATCCAAACACGAGAAAACTGTATGAAACACGAGCGCGAAGCGCGAGTGTTTTATTGTTTTCGAGTGTTTGGTCCCCTGATGAAACACGAGAAACGAGTTGTTTACACAACATCTCGAACGAAAACATTTCATTGGCTGTTCAATTTATTAAGCGCTAACGGGGGACCTATTATTATATTATATATATTATTTAATAGATAATAGTAATTATCTATTATAATTACTGACCCGAATCAAAAGTAATTATTTTCGGCTGGAAGACTACGTTACACTACACATTTTTGAGGACATGCATGTAATGCATCGTGATAGAACAGATTTCAGTTTAATTAATCGCCCTAAATTAAAATCTCCACAAGCGGAGGTCAATTATAGTGTTCTAGTTTACATATTATCATTAATGATAAGGTTAATTCAAAGAGCGTATTAAACTGGATAAACACGGGAATAGAACTTATGGTGTGTTCTGCACATGCGTATATCTAGGATAAAATCCCACAAGCGCAAACGAAACTATTTCTCTATAAAGTTGAGCTGAAAGGACTCACAGTGACCGTTTTGGCAGTGCTTCAGGCGCCCGATGATATTGTATGAGGGGCCTTTAGCACTGTCAACTTCTCATCTTGAGATGTTCACGTTATCGCATGTACTTGTCAGGATGACGAAGGATTGCGAATAATGTCTGTGTGCACTGACACACGCTGCATTATTTTTAATAATGCTGTGTGCACGCTGCATTATTTTTAATAATGCTGGGTGCTATTTTAGCTTCTCGACATTCGCTGATATAATGCAGAGAGAAAACAATAGGTTATTATGACCGTCAGTAATTATTATAGTATATTGTTGTGTTTTGATTTGAATTTGTAATTAGGATCTCAGTTATTAGATGAAAACCGTTTTTCATCTAACAACAGTGATGGTAAATGATTTTTAGCGTGTTTCCTTGCGGTATCCAACCTCAATCATGTGACGAATTAGGGTGAGTTCATTCGCTAATTTGCTCATGAATTATTAATGAGTTCGAGATGTTTATATAATGTACTATTCAAATTTATCACACAAAAATTGCCTTTGCTAAAACTCAACATTAAATAAAATTTTCTTCAGGGTTATAATATAGTGTTCATGGCTAACAAATAGCAAGTTTTAATTGGTACACTGGAGAGTTCAAATAAACAGTAATGATTATGGAAAGTCATGCCTGTCTAACGCCCAAACCACGCCCGTTCTTTCCAACGACCACCCAATCAGCAGAGTGAATTAGGTTCGCTAAACAAAAGACCTGTGGCTTCATTCCCGTTTAAACCTGACCAACGAATGTTTACATCGCACAAATACACGTTTGGACAACTTATATTCTTAGCTACTAGTACTATTGTTTCGGTTTAAGAAAACACAGAAAAAAGGAACTAAGCATTTGAATTAATATGTATATACGAGTTATTCGTCCATTTATTGAACATGGTCTCTTCTATCCTATCATAAACGTGAACTGGACATAAACAAGTATTATTCAAAGTTGTCTATTCAGAAATTTTCAGCAGTTACTATTGTTCGATATATTCCATGCATATATGACGGCACGCTGTGCAGACGTTAAAAATTAGCCTGATAAGTACTCAGTGCCTGCTAATTTAAGCTACACTTTTATCTTTAAGCATGTTAAACCTATCAAAACATTCGAGTACCTTCAATAAACACTGACCCAAAGCTTATCCACTATACGAAGTTCAAAATTCTGCGTGCTAGTTTTGCCATAAAAACGGAAACCAACTTTTTATAACAATACCTTATGCTCCACCTTGGATAAGATTTCTATGGAGAAAATCTTTCTTCCTCAAACAATCAGCGTTTTTTTTAAAAGAATAAACAGAAATACTACTCGACCTAACATATAAAATATTAGCTCGCATTATGATGACAACAGTTTATAATTAAGGTTAAAATGTGTTTCTAAAAACTAAGGTTTAGTAATCAGTTTTTTCCTAAAAAGGAAGACCAACAAGTTTTTCCAAACATTCTATACAACAAGTACAAAAAACAAATCGAAAGAAATACTAAATTATCTTGAACAACAAAACAGTAGAGAGAGTATAAGAACACAAAGTAATCTGAGTTGGAATTTGAAAAATTGGACGGTTTATAATCTGAATTAATGTTTATAGAAAACAGATTAATTTAATTCCAGAAGCTGTCAATATAAATGACTACAATGTTTTGCGATAAAAGCTAAAGTTAATGCTTCTATGAATGTTGCCGGGTTTAGCAATTGATTTTTGGCTATATTGGTAAATGAACCGAGTCAAACGTTCATTCAATATGGCAAGAGGTACTAATGCGTCAAAAGAAATATCAAATTTTCTTGCATCCGAAAACATGAGGGTGAAATATGTAAGGTGTGGTGTAATACGAGTAGTTAAAATGGGAGAGTTTAAAATATTGTGCAAAGGCTCGCAGTAGGATCAGTTGTAGTTGAGCTTCGACAGGAAAGTTGGAAAGATTAAGATGGAGTCTAAGTTTGTGATTTTCTTGTTGTTTGTCTTCATGGCTGACATGACTTCGGTCGTCAACAGTCAGAGTAAAACTACGGTGAGTTTGTCGTGTTATGATATCCAGGCACTAGGGTTTACGCACGGTACATTTACTGGTAATATATTTAGGCTAAAGCGAACATTTAACTGATCATCTTTATTGGACAGCTGTATCAGTTGTCGCTAGAGGACAAGTCTATCAGTCCTTATTGCTCTCGTGTTATATTACAGGAGGAAACCTACAGTAAACTACGTTATTTATACTGACTCATACAAGATACCTCGATCAGTTCTAAATTGTTGTCCCTTCACGTTTAGCATAAGGACAATCCCTTATTGCCCCATGCAGCGTAAGCTCAGGAATGGATTTACTGCGGGAGTGCAGGGGTGTGGACAACACATTCTGGATGTGGCTGGATCAATCCCTGTGTTAGCTACCAAACGAGCTACCTAATTAGCCTAACTGATTTTATTTATACTAGACATTTGATAGCTCTTTGAGTTTTGTCGAAGCTGTTTTCGTCCAACTTTCAGTATAAGGACCATCTTGTACTGCTAATTGTGTTATTGTATCCACAGCAAATCTTTGTCATTTTTTATTAGTCTTCTCAGGTGACCTGTGGTTCTGCAGGTATCCCAGGTATCCCTGGAATTCCAGGAAATCCCGGAAGAGATGGTATACCCGGGTTACGAGGTCCTGCGGGAGCGAAAGGAAAGCCTGGGGGGAGAGGAGATGATTACGTAGATCTGGTGAAGTCAAATTGGAAACAATGTGTTTGGAAGAGAGAGGATAGCAAAGACACTGGCTTGATACAGGTTTAAGAAAATAAGGATAATATGTATTTAAGTAACAGTTCAAATACGAGGCAGATGATATTACCAGGAATTCAAAGTTTGAGTACGTTTTTCAAAAGAAGAACCGCAGACGATCCTTATTAATGTACAGGTATTTTGAAATCCTGGTAAGTCTGAAGTCGAGTATTTGAACTCACTCCCGTCAAGCGTTGTAATTTACACAGTTTTAATAAAAATCTAATTTTAAAATTCAAATACTTCGGTGTCCTGTAGGACATCTTCCTTTAGTTTCTCATGTGAATTAATGAGTTTGGGAAGACATTCTTACGTCCTACTTTGGCAGCAAAGTTGAAATGTTTAGTTCACATTTGGCTAAATTTCCCGCCAATTTCTAAACTGAGAATTCTTACCCTGCAACTAAACCTTAACTATTGCCTTAATCCAAACCTAACCCCAACAAAGGCAGGCCGAATCTAAATGTAACCTTATTCCCTAGAATTAGGTAATGATTAAAATTATTATGGTAGTCTTTTGACAATTTTGACTGGTTACCCTAAATTTGTTCCAAAAGTAATCCCACTTAATTCTAATCCTAAACTTTTCAGCAAATCGTTAAATTAATCCCAAACTAATCATACTCGAAACCGACGCCCTAACCTTAATCTAATCCATACCCCTATCCTAATCCTTTGACGCCTAATCCAATCTAATCTAATCTAATCTAACCTAATCTAATCCTTATCCTTAATACAATCTTATATCTAATCAATTCCAAATCTAATCCTTACCGTAAGCCTAATTTAACCCTTACGGTTGCCTAATGCAATCCTAAGGCTGCGAAGCCTGATCTAATCCTTACCCTAAATCTAATCTTCATCTTATCCTAATTACCCGTTGTCTGTTCTGTTCATATAGAACTGTATTTTCAACAAGAAATACGACAACACCTCAATCCGTGTGTTCTACGCAGGAAGCCTACGTTCTTATGGCAGTGGTGTTTGCAATCGATGGTATTTTACATTTGATGGTGCAGAATGTACAAAACCAGCGACTATTGAAGGAGTTGTTTACGTTCAGTCGACCCAAGAAAGCCCCCTTCGTCACCGCCATATTGAAGGCTACTGTAATCAGGTTCCTAAAGGTCACATACGTGTGGGGTTCTGGATAGGCAAGTGTGCGAGTGGTTTTAGTCTCGGAGATGGTAAAACTGGTTGGAATTCCATGTCTCGTGTTGTGATTGAAGAAGTGCCACCTCCTCAAGCTTAATATCATTCGAGAAAAAAGAATATTATTCATATTATACTATATAACCAAATTACATAAGTATATACTTTTACAAAAAGGACTTGGAGAAAAAATCATTATCAGTTATATTTCTGTAATTGTCAGTATTGTGTTTGATGTTCATAATGTACTACTGCATGGAATGTATCGCAAAAAAATTCCATTGCTAAAACTCAATATTACTAAAGCCTAGTTCTCATTCATCGCAAACTGTCACCGACGATCGGCGACGCTTATCGCCGATACTCGCCGAGCGCGAATGCACGAAAGTTCTCATACATCGGTGATCGTCGCAAATGACAGCCAATGTGTTTCGAAATTTCCCACCAAGGCACAAAATTGCCCCATTCAACGTAAAGTTCATGATTTCTGTCAAACTTCAGTTGATTATTTCCTTGCTTGTTGAGGAAAAAACAACTTTTACTCATTTCTCATAGATTTTTCAAGCAGATGGCAGTCGGCGATGGTCGCAAGAAACAAACTTTTTTGTTTCCTGCGATGTCATTGCCGATGGTCGGCGACGATTACGGACAATCGGCGATATAATTTTTGATGTGTTCTCATAAATCACAAGCGGTCGCCGACGTCGCAAAGCTCCCATCGCCGACGGTTTGCGATGAATGAGAACTAGGCTTAATAAATACTTTTTTCAGCATTACACTATTGTGTTGATGGGATAAGAAATAGAGAGTTTTAATTGTTTCACTGGAGAGTTCAATTAATGATAATTAATAGTAATATTACAGGAAGTCATGCCTGTCTAACGCCTAAGCCATGCGTGGACCACCCAGTGAGCAGAGACAGAGTGAATTAGGTTCACTAAACAAAAGACCTTGGATGTCATTCCAGTTTAAACCTGACCAATGCATGTTTACATCATCCAAATACAAGTTTGGATAACTCATATTCTTAAAATACTTTCATAAACGGAAACAATAGTAACGAAGGCACGTGAGGCTGATTGGAAGTTGTGATCGTGAACTGGGTATAAACAAGAATCTTTCCAGAAATGTTCAGTAGTTATTATGGTTTAAAATATTGCATGCATATATGACGGTACGCTGTGCAGACGTTAAAAATTAGCGGTTATTTTATTAGCCTACTCATTGCCTGCTAATTTAAGCTACACTTGTATATTTAAGCATGTTAACCCATCAAAATATTCGAGTAGCTACGAGTAACACTGACACAAGCGTTCCTGGTTAGGTTTTAAATAGTGTACTATATAATTATGGTCACTCAATCTCGTTCCCCGAGACTGCGATCCTCGGGAAGGAACGTGAGGCTGTGGGATAATCCGTTTTAGGGAAGAATCTGATTGACCGTTGATACGGAATGCGCAGTTCAATCTTAGCAAGGATTCCTGGCTTCCGGCAACGGATTATCCCAGAGCCTCACGTTCCTTCCCGAGGATCGCAGGCTCGGGGAACGAGATTGATTAGATTATCCACCAAACCCGGCATTCAAACACAATATCTATTCACAAATTTTAGCAGTGATTGCAGGCATAAAATTTAGCATGCAGTGATTACATATTTTAACGGCTTAAGTAAGACATTGCCATTGTCTTAAGCCGTTTTTACATTTCAAGCCTTAACCCAGCCTCGTACCCACCAGGCTCTTTCCCCTGAGTACAAGGTTTGGCTTAATTAACCTGGCCTTGGTAGACCTTAATGGACAACTTGCATGTTAGACTAAATTTTAATCTAAGCAGATAGAAGGGAATCAAACACCACAGCTAAAAAGAACATAGTGAAATTAGTAAAATTGAAAAATTTGGTTGCGAAATGTTGTAAAGCTTGGAAAATATAGCCTTGCAAAATTTGCATATTTTCAGTATATTTGTATTACGTGGTAGCAAAAATGGTAACAATTTCCGCACGTAATACAAATATACTGAAAATATGCAAACTTTGCAAAGCTATATTTTCCAAGCTTTACAACATTTCGCAACCAAATTTTGCAATTTTATTAATTTTAATAAGTTCTTAACGGGAATTTACTTTTTTTGCCTAGATCAAAAATTTGTCTAACATGCTAGTTGTCTATTGGCATGAATTTGCTTACACTGTTTGCTTGATTTAATTTGTCAGCCAATCAAGGAAAGCGAGAAATCCTGGCCAAGGTTAGACCAACAGGCTTTGAAACATAAACACAGCTTGAAGGGTTCAAAAATACCCAAATGTTCAATGCCCACCACTGTTAGCAACCTTTCATTTTTCATCATGTCAACCTATGGAAACGTTCAATAAAAATCGACACAAGTTGATGAACTACACAAAGTTGAAAATCTGCTTGCTAGTTTTACTCGAAATACAAAAACCCATCTCTCAAACAATATCCTACATGTGCTAACAAAGATAAGATTTCTATAGAGATCTTTTTTTTTTCATCAAAGAATCAGTGTTTTCTTTTGTTAAAACTAAACAGAAATACTTGCTGATTAAATATATAAAATCCCAAATCTCCATTACGACGCCAACAGTTTGTGATCAAGTTTTACACATGTTTTTAAAACTAAGGTTTATGAATCAGTGTTTTGTTAAAAGGGGAAGCCAACAAGTTTCCCCGAACATCCTATACAGCAAGTACAAGAAACTAATTGAGAGAAATACTAAATTATCTTGAACAAGAAAACAGTAGGGAAAATATAATATGAACTAAATGTAATCCGAGTTGGAATTGAATTAAAGTTTACAGAAAACAGATTAATCCCAGAAGCTTTCAATATAATGGCCACAATCTTTCCTGATAAAAGTTAAAACTAATGTTTCCATAAAAGTTGGTTTAGCAAATAGTTTTTGTCTAAATGGGTAAATGAACCGAGTCAAACATTCATTCTATATGGCAAGAGCTACTGATAAGTTAAGAGAAATATAAAATTTTCTTGCATCAGAAAACATGAGGGTAAAATATTTAGGGCGTGGTGTAATACGATCGAGTGGTTAAAATGGGAGAGTTTAAAATATTGTGCAAAGGCTCGCAGTAGGATCAGTTGTAGTTAAGCTTCGATAGAAAAGTTTGAAAGATATTTTTAAGATGGAGTCTAAATTCGTGATTTTCTTGTTGTGTGTCTTTATGGCTGACATGACTGTGGTTAACAGTCAAGGTAAAAAATCTACGGTGAGTTTGTCGTGTTGTGATATCTAGCCTCTAGTGTTTATGTACGGAATATATTTTGTGATAAACTTAACCTAACTTTATTTACACTGGATTGCTCTATCAGTTCTAATTAAACTGTCCGCTCGTCAAGCCTGCAGATAAGAGCAATCGTTGATTGTTGGCATTTTATTTTTCCTGCCTTAACATGAATTAAAAACAAACGTATGACTTGAGTTTATTATGCACTAAAGTCAAACGTTAGTCAATTCATGCAAATACTTAGGTCGTTTGACCTCCACGATCTTGTCTCCATTTCTGATATAGTACCCAATTCCTCAACTGCGTCTCGAACTGCACACCGTACTCACTCGTTTAGGCGCCGCGGTGCTCTTTTTAAAATGTTTAGTGTTACATGATGGGGTGCTTATTTGAGGGAGGCGCTTGTTCGAGTGCGACGCTCTTTATGAGGGATCGAACTGATAAATCTATCCAATATATTAAAATTAGTTTCTTTTGTTATCAGTTTAGAAAGATTTGTTTATAGCTCTTTCATAAAGCAGTGGTCTGCGTCATTATATCATTTAAATATCCTTATCAAATATCTTTGTCCTTTCAGGCAACCTGTGGTTCTCCTGTGGTTCTTCTTCTACGAGGTTCTGCTGGCGCGAAAGGGGAGCCTGGGGAGAGAGGAATTTGTGGTTCTCCAGGTATCCCTGGAATTTCAGGAAATTCCGGAAGAGATGGTATGCCTGGGTCACGTGGTCCTGCAGGAGCGATAGGGGAGCCTGGGGAGAGAGAAAGTGATGACGTAGATCTGGTGAAGTCAAATTGGAAACAATGTATTTGGAAGAGAAACGATGGCAAAAACACTGGTTTGATACAGGTTTAAGAAATTAATGATTTTATGTATTTAAGTAACAGTAGTCAAATACGATATAGAGGACATTACCGGGATTTCAATGTCGAGTGCGTTTTTAAGAAGAACCGCAGACGAGCCTCATTACGGTACAGGGATTTTGACATCCTGCTAAGTCCGAAGTTGAATATTTGAACTGATCGGTGTAATTTACATAGTTTTTATCTAAAATCTCATTTTAAAATTCTAGTCACTTTTGTGTGCTGTATATAGAACATCTTCCTAATAAATAAATAAATGATTATTAGTAGTTTCTTCTGTGAATGAATGAGTTTGAGAAGATATTCTTACGACCTACTTTGGTAGCAAAGCTAAAATGTTTAGTTTGCACTTGGCTAAGTTTCCGGCCAATTTTAAAACGGCGAATTCCTATCCTACAACTAAACCTCAACCATTGCCCTAATCCAAACCTAATCCCAACAAAGACCGGCCAAATCTAAACATAACTCTAGTTCCTAGAATTATTATTATCGTAGTCTAATCATAATCCTGACGGGTTACCCTAATTCTAATCCAAAAGAAATCCCATTTAATTCTAATCCTAATCTTTTCAGCTAATCTTTAAATTAATCCCAAACTAACCATACTCTCCTAACCTTAACCTAACCGTAATAATCCTAACCGCAATATAATCCTTACTCTGATCCAATCCTAAGCCTAATCTAATTCTTACTGTAAGCTTAATTAATGCGTTTCCAGAAGATATTTTATACAAACCTTAACATAACCTAATCTAATCTAATCCCAACTCAAATCCAATTTTAAGCCTAGTCCATACCGTAAGCCTTATCTAATCTAATTACCCTTTGTCTGTTCTGTTCATATAGAACTGTATTTTCAACAAGAAATACGACAACACCTCACTCCGTGTGTTCTACGCAGGAAGCCTACGTTCTTATGGCAGTGGTGTTTACAATCGATGGTATTTTACATTTGATGGTGCTGAATGCACAAAGCCAGCGACTATTGAAGGAATTGTTTGCGCTAAATCGACCCAAATCGAACCCTATCGTCACCGCCATATCGAAGGCTACTGTAACCGGGTTCCTAAAGGTCACATACGTCGGGTTCTGGATAGGCAAGTGTGAGAGTCATAGTCTCGGAAATGGTGACTCTGGCTGGCTATCGATGTCTCGCATTGTGATTGAAGAAGTACCACCTCCTCAAGCTTAATATCATTCAAGAAAAAAAGAGTATTATTCATACTTTATAACCAAATTATACAAGTATATGACTTTTACAAAAGACGCTTAGGAAGTAAAAACTGATTATCAGTTATATTTTTGTAATTGTCGATGTGATGTTGATTGTCAGACAAAAATTCATTTGTTAAAATTTAAGATTAAATAAAATAATTTCTTTAGCGTTACCATAAAATGTGATAAAAAAGAAAGTTTCAAATTATTCACTGGTCTTGAGTGCTCATTGAAGAATGGTGATTTTAGATGAGGAGGCACGCCCATATTAAACCGCACGAAGATATATTGGTTTTCAAAGTAAATTATCTCAACAGCATACCGGTTTTCTTTCGCGTTCTCTCTCTCCCACTCTCTCTCTCTTAACGGGGGCGGTTTATACTTTCAACTCTCAACTGGAAATCCAAAATAGAAGGAAATATGAAGGAAATTCCGAATTATGAAAGGAAAAAGAAGTAAATTTCATGTTTACTGATGTATGACCTGTAATATGGAGTCTTTTTATGTTTACGAAAGTCTGTAGAAAGGATTGTACGTATACTGCTTTAGTTTATTTTGTGTTCTGGGGCCGGTTGTATAAAACTCTTAATCACTTTTTTAATCACTATTTTGTAGTTAAATAGTGATTAACTCTCAAATACACGCTTCTTACTTGATGACGTTTGCACTTAATCATAGTTAACTTTAATCATGACTTTTTTATACAACCAGCCCCTGGTATAACAATTCAGTACGAAGTGAAGAATACTGAGCTGATGCACAAGCCAAACAAAGACTCGCAATGTCTGTTCTTGTGAAGGCTCTGAGTAAGATTTTGTTCCAAATTGCTTGATAATTATCGGTCAGCCCAGTTATTTCGAAGAAATTTTATACCTTCCTAAAGCATGATAATAATGACAACGCATTTCGAATTAGGTATATGAACTAGCACTGTCTATATATTTTAACAGTGATTCACTTTTATTGCCCTTTTTATATAATGTTTAATATTTTGACCTGGCCCTGGAATGAGTTTGCTTACGCAGTTTAATCAAGCAAACAGCGTAACTTGCTTGATTAAATTTCCAATCAATCAACGAACGAAAGCGAGAAATCCTGGCCAACGTTAGGCGAATAGGCTTTGAAATATAAATATAGCTTAAAGGGTTCAAAAATAGCCAAATACTCAATGCCCGCCAATGTTAGCTACTTCATACTATACGAACTATACGAAGTTGAAAATCTGCTTGCTAGTTTTACTTGAAATACAAAATCCTTCTCTCAAACATTATCCTATATGAGCCAACAAAGATAAGATTTTTATAGGGAAAATCTTTTTTCCTCAAACAATGATTGTTTTCTTTTGTAATAACTGAACAGAAATTCTACTCTCGACTAAATATATAAAATCCTAGCATTATGACAACAACAGTTTATGATCATGTTTAAAATATGTTTCTGAAAACTAAGGTTTACGAATCAGTTTTTTGCTAACATACAACAAGAACAAAAACACAACAAGAACAATTTAACACAACAAGAACAAACAACAAATTGAAACAAGCGCTAAACTATCTTGAACAAGAAAACAGTAGAGAAAATATACGAACATAATGTAATCTGAGTTGCAATCTGAAAAATTGGACCGTTTATAGTCCGACTTAAAATTTACAGAAAACAGATTAATTCCACAATTCAAGCTGTCAATAATGACCACAATGTTTTCTCATAAAAGTTAAAACTAATGTTTCCATGAACGTTGGTTTAGCAAATAGTTTTTGTCTAAATGGGTAGTATGAACCGAGTCAAACATTTATTCTATATGGCACGAGCTACTGATAAGTTAAGAGAAATATCAAATTTTCTTCCATCAGAAAACATGAGGGTGAAATATGTAAGGCGTGCTGTAATATGAGTGGTTAAAATGGGAGAGTTTAAAATATTGCGCAAAGGCTCGCAGTAGAAGCAGTTGTAGTTGAGCTTCGTCCGGAAAGTTGGAAAGATTAAAATGGAGTCTAAGGTCGTGATTTTCTTGTTGTTTGTCTTCATGGCTGACATGAATTCTGTCGTCGACAGTCAGAGTAAAACTACGGTGAGTTTGTCGTGTTATGATATCTAGACACTAGGTTTACGTATGGTACATTTACTGGTAATTTACGCTAAAGCGAACATTTAATCATTTATATTGGACAGCTGTATCAGTTCTCGCTAGAGGACAAGTCTATCAGTCCTTATTGTTCTCGTGTTATTCTACAGGAGGAAACCTAAAGTAAACTACTACGTTATTTATACTGCCCCATACCTCGATCAGTTCTAAACAGTTGTCACTTCGCGTTTAGAATAAGGACAATCCCTTATTGCCCCATGCAGTGTAAGCTCTGGAATGGATTTACTCCTGGAGTGCAGGGGTGTGGGCAACACACTCTGGACCTAGCCGGATCAATCCATGACGAGCTACCTAATTAGCCAAACTCATTTTATATATACTGGACGTTTATAGTTCTTTGAGTTCTGTCGAAGCTATTTTCGTTCAACTTCCAGTATAAGGACCACCTTGTATTGCTAATTGTGTTATTGTATCCTCAACAAATCTTTGTCATTTTTTATTAGCCTTCTCAGGTGACCTGTGGTTCTGCAGGTATCCCAGGTATCCCTGGAATTCCAGGAAATCCCGGAAGAGATGGTATACCCGGGTCACGTGGTCCTTCGGGAGCAAAAGGGGAGCCTGGGGAGAGAGGAGATGATTACGTAGATCTGGTGAAGTCAAATTGGAAACAATGTGTTTGGAAGAGAAGTGATACCAAAGACACTGGCTTGATACAGGTTTAAGAAATTAAGAATAATATGTATTTAAGTAACAGTTCAAATATGAGGTAGAGGACAATATCGGGATTTCAAAGTCGAAGTAAGTTTTTAAAAAGAAATACCGAGCCTTTAAAAGGCGAGTTTTTAAAAAGCGGGCTAAAGTTAATGTACAGAAATTTTGAAATCCTGCTTAGTCTGAAGACGAGTATTCGAACTGACTTCCGTCAAACGTTGTAATTTACATAGTTTTATCTTTTAAAATGTGATTTTAAAATTCTAGTACGCTAGTGCCTTGTACGACATCTTCTTTTATATTGGTTTCTACTGAAAATTAATGAGTTTCATACGATATTCTTACGACCTAGCAAGTTTAAATGTTTAGTTTGCACTCAGTGGCTCAATTTCTGGCTAATTTTGAAACGGCGAATTCTTACCCTGCATCTAAACCTTAACTAACCTGAGTATCAGGCCCTCGGTATTGAAGAAAGCCTGACACAATTCGCCTCTACGGGCTTTCCAGCCCCAGAATATCAGCCAATTAAAATTATTTCCGGTTGTAGCATATTTCCGGTTGTCCACTACAGGTATGTAAATACGCAAATTTCGTTATTTGCAGTTTTGTATAAATTTGAATAAATACGGAGAAAAATCGGTATGTTTTTGTCGAATTATCCACATGATGGAATTCTAAGTGTAAACTATGCCTCATTCGGGGAACAATAGCTCGATGGCTTTTAAATGATAAATAAGGCTTCAGCTTTTTGGAACTAAATATTTGAAAATTTCCGACATCCACATATTTTCGTTCTACGGCGACTATTACGGCGAGATATTTAGACACGCTTTCTACTATGACTATGTAGTTTTAGTTTTATACCGAGTAAAATGTTGCTGCAAAAGCGTTTTCAACGTCTTCTCGTATTTATTTTGTCATTTTTAGGCTTAATTAATTGAAAATAAATTTCAGAAATAAAGCACTTTTAACAGTATATTGACAAAATTACAAATTCTATTTTTGGTGTTTACATATGCCGGTCATATATTTCCGGTTTGAATCACATGATGCGTTTTATCGTCTCTTAGCCAATCAGCATAACATCCAGATTCTGGATGTTGAACATGGCTTTAGAGGCGAATTGTGTCAGGCCCTCTTTCAATACCGAGGGCCTGATACTCAGGTTAAACCTTAACCATTGCCCTAATCCAAACTTAATCCCAACAAAGACCGGCCAAATCTAAATATAATCCTAGTCCCTAAGATTAGATAATGATTAAAATCACAGTATTATGGAATTCTAATCCTAATCCTGAGGGGTTACCTTAATTCTGATCCGAAAGTACGATCACTTAATTATTATAATCCTAATCTTTTCAGCTAATCGCTAAATTAATCCCAAACCAACCATACTCAAAACCAACGTCCCAAACTTAACCCAACCCCATTAGTCCTAACCCCAATGTAATCCTAATTCTGATCAAATCTTACGTCTAATCTAATCCTTACCCTAAACTTAAAATTCGGGTTTGAGAAGATATCCTTACAGCTATTAACATAACCCGAATCTAATCCTCACCTTAATCTAATCCTTGCCCTTAATTTAATCTATCGGCTAACCTTTTGAAGGCTGATCTAATCCCTATCCCAATCTAATCCTAACTCTAATCCAATTTAAATCCTAATCCTTACCGTAAATGTAATCTAATCCTTACATTTGCTTAATGTAATTCTAAGCCTTTGAAGCCTGATCCAATCTTACACTAAACCTAATCTTAAGCTTATCTTAAATACCCCTTGTGTGTTCTGTTCATATAGAACTGTATTTTCAACAAGAAATACGACAACACCTCACTCCGTGTGTTCTATGCAGGAAACCTACGTTCCATTGGCAGTCGTGTTTGCAATCGATGGTATTTCACATTTGATGGTGCGGAATGTACAAAATCAACCCCCATCGTCACCGCCATATTGAAGGCTACTGTAACCAGGTTCCTAAAGGTCACATACGTGTGGGGTTCTGGATAGGCAAGTGTCAGAGTAATAGTCTCGGAGATGGTTTACTGGTTGGAATTCCATCTCTCGTATTGTGATTGAAGAAGTACCACCTCCTCAAGCTTAATATATTTAAAAAAAGAGTAGTATTCATATCATACTGTATAACCAAATTATACAAGTATATAACTTTTACAAAAGAGACTTAGAGAAAAAGCTGAAATCATTATCAGTTATATTTCAATTCTGTAATTGTCAGTATTGTGTTTGATGTTCATAATGTACTACTCAAATGTATCACACAAAAATTGCCTTTGCTAAAACTCAACATTAAATAAACTATTTTCTTCAGCATTACATTATTGTGTTCATGGGATAATAAATAGCGAGTTTTAGTTGGTACACAGGAGAGTTCAATTAAAGAGTAATGATTACAGGAAGTCATGCCTGTCTATCGCCCGAACCACGTCTGGTCTTTCCTACGACCACCCAATCAGCAGAGTGAATTAGGTTCGCTAAACAAAGGACCTCGGGTTTCATTCCCGCTTAAACCTGACCAAAGCGTGTTTATATCGTTCAAATACAACTTTGCATAACTCTTATTCTCAGCTACTATTATTTCGGTTTAAGAAAATATAGAACAAAAGCAACTACGCATTCGAATTAATATGTATACGAGTCACTCTCCAATTTATTGAACATGCTCTCTTCTATAATTTCATAAACCGAAACAATGGTACGTAACCAGGCATGTGAGGTATTGTCAGTTGTCAAGTGGGTATAAACAAGCGGCTTTTTATTCAGTCAAAGGTGAATATTCTGAAATTTTCAGCAGCTATTGTGGTTCAAAATATTGTATGCATGCATATATGACGGCACGCTGTGCAGAGGTTAAAGATTACCCTGATAAATATTCATGATCAGTGCCTGCTAATTTAAGCTACACTTTTATCTTTAAACATGTTAAACTTATCAAAACATTCGAGTACCTTCAATAAACACTGACACAAAGCTTATCAACAATACGAAGTTCAAAATTCTGCCTGCTAGTTTTGCCATAAAAACGGAAACTCACTTTTTCTAACAATACCTTATGTTTGGCACTTGAATAAGATTTCTATGCAGAAGATTTTTCTTCCTCAATTAAACAATCGTCGTTTTCTTTTGTAATAACTAAACAGAAATACTAGTTCACTTAATATATAAAATACTAGCTCGCATTATGACGACAACAGCTTATGATTAGGCCTAAAAACCTTTTCTGAAAACTAAGGTTTAGCAATCAGTTTTTTGCTAAAAAACGAAAGCCATCAAGTTTCCCCAAACATTATTTACAACAAGTACAAAAAAACAAATTGAAAGAAATGCCAAATTATCTGGAACAAGAAAACAGTAGATAGAATACGAGAACAAAATGTAATCTGATTTGGAATATGCGAAATCGGACGGTTTATAGTCTGAATTAAAGTTTGGAGAAAACAGATTAGTTCCAGAGGCTGTAAATAATGGCCATAATGTTTTCCGATAAAACTAATGTTTCCTTAAACGTTGGTTTAGCAATTAGTTTTTGGCTAAATGGGTAAATGAACCGAGTCAAACATTCATCCTATATGGCAAGAGCTACTGATAAGTTAAGCGAAATATCAAATTTTCTTGCATCAGAAAACATGAGGGTGAAATATGTAAGGCGTGGTGTAATACGAGTGGTTAAAATGGGAGAGTTTAAGACATTGTGCAAAGGCTCGCAGTAGGATCAGTTGTAGTTGAGCTTCGTCAGGAAAGTTGGAAAGATTAAAATGGAGTCTAAGTTCGCGATTTTCTTGTTATTTGTTTTCGTGGCTGACATGACTTCGGTCGTCATCAGTCAGAGCAAAACTACGGTAAGTTTGTCGTGTTATGATATCTAGGCACTAGGGTTTACGTACGGTACATTTACTGGTAATTTAGGTCAAAGCGAACATTTAATCATTTATATTGGACAGCTGTATCAGTTCTCGCTAGAGAACAAGTTTATCAGTCCTTATTGCTTGCGTGTTAACCTACAGGAGGAAATATAAAGTAAACTAGCTACGTTAATTATACTGGCTCATACACGATACCTCAATCAGTTCTAAACTGTTGTCCCTTCACGTTTAGAATAAGGACAATCCCTTATTGCCCCATGCAGTGTAAGCTCAGGAATGGATTTACTGCGGGAGTGCAGAGGTGTGGGCAACACACTCTGGATCTGGCTGCATCAATCCATGTGTTAACTACCAAACAAGCTACCTAATTAACCAAACTCATTTTATTTATACTAGACGTTTGATAGTTCTTCACTTTGAGTTCTGTCGAAGCTGTTTTCGTTCAACGTCTAGTATAAGGACCATCTTGTATTGCTAATTGTGTTATTATACCTTTAACAAATCTTTGTCAATTTTTATTAGTCTTCACAGGTGACCTGTGGTTCTGCAGGTATCCCAGTATCCCTGGAATTCCAGGAAATCCCGGAAGAGATGGTATACCTGGGTCACGTGGTCCAGCGGGCGCGAAAGGGGAGCCTGGAGAGAGAGGAGATGATTACGTAGATCTGGTGAAGTCAAATTGGAAACAATGTGTTTGGAAGAGAAACGATGGCAAAGACACTGGCTTGATACAGGTTTAAAAAATTAAAGATAATATGTATTTAATAACACTTCAAATGCGAGAGAGAGGACAATACCGGGATTTCAAAGTCCGCGTGCGTTTTTAAAAAGAAGAACCGCAGACAAGCCTTATTAATGTACAAGTTCGAAGTCGAGTATTTGAAGTGACTTCGTCAAACGTTATAATTTACATAGTGTTATTTGAATGCTGATTTTAAAGTTCTAATACTTTAGTGTCCTCTAGGACATCTTCCTTTAGTGTCTGCTGCAAATTAATATAATGAGTTTGAGAATATATTCTTACAACTCTGTCTGCCCTCAAAACAAATGTCCCCACCTTAATATAACTCTAATCTAATCCTAACCTTAATCTAATCCTTATCTTTAACTTAATTTGTCCTAAACCTTTGAAGCCTAATCGTATCCCAATCTAATCCTAACTTTAATTCAATTGTAAGCCTAATTCTTACTGTAAGTCTAATCTAATCCTTATATTTACCTAATCTAATCCTAAGCCTTTGAAACCTGATCCAATCCTTACCCTAAACATAATCCGTAACCTTACCCCAATTAACTTTTTTCTTTTCAGTTCATATAGAACTGTATTTTCAACAAGAAATACGACAACACCTCACTCCGTGTGTTCTACGCAGGAAGCCTAAATTCTTATGGCAGTAGTGTTTGCAATCGATGGTATTTCACATTTGATGGCGCAGAATGTACAAAACCAGCCACTATTGAAGGAGTTATTTGGGTTGGATCAACCCAAGTCTACCCTTATCGTGACCGCCATATTGAAGGCTACTGTAACCAGGTTCCTAAGGGTCACATACGTGTGGGGTTTTGGATAGGCAAGTGTCATAGTCATAGTCTCGGAAATGGTTATACTGGCTGGTATTCCATCTCTCGTATTGTGATTGAAGAAGTACCACCTCCTCAAGCTTAACATTTAAGAAAAGAGTATTATTCATATCATACTATATAACCAAACTGGACAAGTATATAACTTTTACAAAAGAGACTTGGGGAAAAAACTGAAATGATTATGAGACATATTTCTGTAATTCTCAGGATTGTGTTTGATGTTCATAATGTACTACTCAAATGTATCACACAAAAACTGCCTTTGCTAAAACTCAAGATTAAATAAAATATTTTCTTCAGCATTACATTATTGTGTTCATGAGATAATAAATAGCTAGTTTTAATTGATTCACTAGATCGAGAGTTCAATTAAAGAGTAATGATTACCGGAAGTCAAACCTGTCTAACGCCCAAACCACATCTGGTCTTTCCAACGACCACTCAATCACTGAACCAAAGCTTATCAACTATATTCGGCTCAAAATTCTGCGTGCTGGTCTTGCCATAAAAACAGAAACCCACTTTTTCTAACAATACCTTACGTGCCTGATATACTTTTTACCCACAGACAGCCATGGCTAAAAGTATGGTGAAATCTGAATTCATAGGCGTGAAAAGATCGATAAGGGGGGGGCATATTCATATATTCGCGTTCTGCATTATTAATTTATTTTGAAATCCATTGTTTTTAAGGTCTGTGAACACGAATATATGAATATGGTCCCCCCCCCACTTATCGATTTTTGACGACTATGAATCTGATATACTTTTAGCGACAGACCGCCGTGGCAAAAAAGTATAGTGACATCTGATATACTTTTTAGCCACAGACGGCCGTGGCTAAAAGTATAGTGAAATCTGATATACTTTTTAGCCACAGACCGCCGTGGCTAAAAAGTATGCTGAAATCAGGTACACTTTTTAGCCACAGACCGCCATGGCTAAATGTATACTGAAATTTGATATACTTTTTAACCACAGACCGCCGTGGCTAAAAGTATAGTGAAATCTGATATACTTTTTAGCCACAGACCGCCGTGGCTAAAAAGTATACTGAAATCTGATATACTTTTTAGCCACAGACCGCCGTGGCTAAAAGTATAGTGAAATCTGATGTACTTTTTAGCCACAGACCGCCGTGGCTAAAAGTATAGTGAAATCTGATATACCTTTTAGCCACAGACCGCCGTGGCTAAAAAGTATAGTGAAATCTGATATACTTTTTAGCCACAAACCGCCGTGGCTAAAAAGTATACTGAAATCAGGTAAACTTTTTAGCCACAGACCGCCATGGCTAAATGTATACTGAAATTTGATATACATTTTAACCACAGACCGCCGTGGCTTAAAGTATAGTGAAATCTGATATACCCTTTAGTCACAGACCGCCGTGGCTAAAAGTATACTGTAATCTGATGTACTTTTAGCCACAGACCGCCGTGTGAGTAAAAGTATAGAGAAATCTGATGTACTTTTACCCACAGACCGCCATGGCTAAAAGTATAGTGAAATCTGATATACTTTTTAGCCACAGACCGCCGTGGCTAAAAAGTATACTGAAATCTGATATACTTTTTAGCCACAGACCGCCGTGGCTAAAAAATATACTGACATTTGATATACTTTTTAGCCACAGACCGCCGTGGCTAAAAGTATAGTGAAATCTGATGTACTTTTTAGCCACAGACCGCCGTGGCTAAAAGTATAGTGAAACCTGATGTACTTTTTAGCCACAGACTGCCGTGGCTAAAAGTATAGTGAAATCTGATGTACTTTTAGCCACAGACCGCCGTGGCTTTTAAAAAGTATGGTGAAATCTGATATACTTTTTAGCCACAGACCGCCGTGGCTAAAAGTATAGTGAAATCTGATATACTTACTTTTAGCCACAGACCGCCGTGGCTAAAAAGTATAGTGAAATCTGATATACTTTTTAGGCACACATAGCCGTGGCTAAAAAGTATAGTGAAATCTGATATACTTTTTAGCCACAGACCGCCGTGGCTAAAAGTATAGTGAAATTTTATATCAGGGGCAAAACTTGCCCCTTTTAATTAGGGGTGTCTGCTAGAATTGCCTTGGGAAAGTCGATGATGCCCTGCAGGAAATTTTTTTTTAGCCATTATTTTTCCCAAAAATGTTGGCGGGGTGGAGGTTGGAAAAATTTTTTCCGGACTTTCAAAAAAAGAGTTGAAAAATTTTTTCCGGACATAAACCATTTCAATTAAGAGTCGAAAAATTTTTTCCGGACAAATCTCTGTTAAAACATACGTGAAACCCTTATTTTCGGACCAATATCTGTTAAAATTTAGGTCTTTAAATTCTATTCAATTCCCTCTGGAAGCCCTGTAAGTTACTTAATAACTTTACATTCTATCATTTAAAATCTTTGATTGCCCTGCCAATCCAGATGCCTCCCCATACCCCTCTCAAGTTTCGTCCCTGATAAAAAGTAAAGCTAGTTAGTTACCGTGGATTTTTGCTTGAATATTGGTGAATTCTTCTGGCAGGCTTGAATAAGTTGCTTCGCATTCGCCGAAGTTTAACTAACGTATACGTTAGTTAAATGACAGTTCAGTCATTAAATAGAACATTCAAAAGATGACTGTATGCATTGTGCCCATGAGTAACACATTCTAATTGACCAAATTTTAAATTGAGTGTCAGGAATCATAATTAAGACAAAGATTCTCATTAGGAACCGGAGTAATAATTTATGGCCGGGGGGGGGGGGATGACACCGAAAAGAAATGCTTTTTTACCGTAAATATTTTGCTCATCTAACCATTGACAGGTCAAATAAAATTTTACCCAACTTCAAATATCGATTGAAAAATAAATACCCGCCCCTGTCCAAAAAGGATACCATTCAGTTGTCACACATATCCTTTCAATTGCTTCTGTGACATGAGTTTGATAACTACTGTGCAATTTTCTGCAGAGTTTCATGTTGTCTGCACATGTACTTCCTTGGATACACCACTTGCCTCCTGACAAATCGAGAAATGATCATGATAGTGATTCTGATTGATTGATTGATTGATTGATTGATGGATTGACTTACATATTGTATTGGCATACGGATGTTGACATTGTTTTTTAGCCTTAACTAATGACTTGTCCCTTTGCTTTACAGCCTGCACGTGATCAGATTGTTTTGTATTCAAAACTTGTGGTTCTGGGTACAATGGTGGTTCAAAACATTAAGAATTTTCAAGTAAAGAGCAGAGCCCAGCAAATAACTTTAAAGTAGGATTTCGGCTTGGTGCATCAATTGCCACAATTTTTAAGTAATTATGTGTGTTCAATATCGGTGACTATGACAACGCATTTCTAATTAGGAATATGAACTAGCACTGTCTATTCACAAACTTTAGCAGTGATTAACTTTTATTGTAGTTTACTATTTAATATCTTGACCTGGTCTTGGAATGAATTTGCTTACGCTGTTTTCTTCATTTAATTTGTCAGCCAATGAACGAAAGCGAGAAATCCTGGCCAATTAAGGTCAGGCCAATAGGCTTTGAAATATAAACACAGCTTAAAGAGTTCAAAACTAGCCAAATACTCAATGCCCGCCAATGTTAGCAACCTTTCATCTTTCATCATGTTAACCTATGGAAACCTTCAATAAAAATCAACACAAGTTGATGAACTATATACGAAGTTGAAAATCTGCTTGCCTGTTTTACTCAAAATACAAAACCCATCTTTCAAACAATATCCTATTTGTGCCAACAAAGATAAGATTTCTATGGAGAAGATCTTTTTTCCTCAAACAATCAGTGCTTTCTCTTGTAATAACTAAACAGAAATACCTGATGACTATTCAATTTGTAAAATCGCAGCCTTCATTATGACGACAACAGTTTATGATTAAGCTTAAAATATGTTTCTGAAAACTAAGGTTTAGCAATCAGTTTTTTGCTAAAAAGAGAAGCCAACAAGTTTTCCCAAACATTCTATACAGTAGGTACAAAAAACAAACAGAAAGAAATACTAAATTATCTTGAACAGAAAACCAGTAGGGAAAATATACGAATATAATGTAATCCGAGTTGGAATGTGCGAAATTGGACCGTTTATAGTCTGAATTAAAATTTACATAAAACAGATTAATTCTAGCTGCCAATAGTGACCATAAAGTTTTTCGATAAAAGTTAATGTTTCTATGAACGTTGATTTAGCAATTAGTTTTTGGCTAAATTGGTTAATGAACCGAGTCAAACATTCATTCTACATGGCAAGAGCTACAGATCAGTTAAGCGAAATCTCAAATTTTCTTGCATCAGAATGAGAGTGAAATATGTAAGGCGTGGTGTAATACGAGTGGGTAAAATGAGAGAGTTTAAAATATTGTGCAAAGGCTCGCAGCAGGATCAGTTGTAGTTGAGCTTCGTCAGGAAAGTTGGAAAGATTAAGATGGAGTCTAAGTCCGTGAGATTCTTGTTGCTTTTCTTTATGACTGACATGACTACGGTCGTCAACAGTCAGAGTAAAACTACGGTGAGTTTGTCGTGTTGTGATATCTAGGCAGTAGGGTTTACGCACGGTACATTTACTGGTAATTTAGGCAAAAGCAAACACTTAATCATTTATATTGGACAGCTGTATCAGTTCTCGCTAGAAGACAAGTCTTTCAGCCCTTATTTTCTCCGTGTTGTACTGCAGGAGGAAACATAAAGTAATCTACGTTATTTATACTGGCCCATACAGGATACCTCGATCAGTTCTAAACTGTTGTTCCTTCACGTTTAGAATAAGGACAATCCCTTATTGCCCCACGCAGATCTGGCAGGATCAATCCATGTGTTAGCTACTAGACGAGCTACCTAATTAACCAAACTCATGTTATATACACTAGACATTTGACAGCTCTTTGAGTTCTGTTGAAGCAGTTTTCGTTCAACTTCCAGTATAAGCACCATCCTGTAGTGCTAATTGTGTTATTATATCCTCAACAAATTTTTGTCATTTCTATTAGTCTTCTCAGGTGACCTGTGGTTCTGCAGGTATCCCAGGTATCCCTGGAATTCCAGGAAATCCCGAAAGAGATGGTTTACCCGGGTCACGTGGTCTTGCAGGTGCGAAAGGGGAGCCTGGAGAGAGAGGCGATGATGACGTAGATCTGGGGAAGTCAAATTGGAAACAATGTGTTTGGAAGAGAAACGATGGCAAAGACACTGGCTTGATACAGGTTTAAAAAATTAAAGACTTTGTGCATTTAAGTAACAGTTCAAATACGAGACAGAGGAGATTACCGGGATTTCAAAGTCTGAATGCCTTTTTAAAAAGAACCTCAGACGAGCCTTATTAAGTTCAGGGATTTTGAAATCTTTGCAAGTCCAAAATCGAATATTTGAAGCGAATTCCGTCAAACGTTGTAATTTACATAGTGTTATTTAAAATCTGATTTTAAGGTTCTAGTACTTTAGTGTCCTGTAGGATATCTTCCTTTGGTTTCTACTGTGAATTAATGAGTTTGAGTAGGTTATTATTGCAACCGTATTATTGCAAAGTTTAAATGTTTAGTTCACACTTGGTTCAATTTTCGGCCAATTTCAAAACGGCGAATTCTTACAGTGCAACTAAACATTAACCATTGCCCTAATCCAAACCTAAACCCAACAAAGGAAGGCCAAATCTAAAGATAAAATTATTATGGTAGTCTAATCATAATCCTGAGTGCTTACTCTAATTCTAATCCAAACGTAATCTCACTTAATTCAAATCTTAAACTTTTCAGCCAATCGTTAAATTAATCCCAAACTAACTATACTCAAAACCAACGTCCTAACCTTAACCTAACCCTTATCTAATTCCAACTCTAATTAATCCTAACCCTAATCTAAACCCTGACGTAAAATTTAATCCTAACCCTTTGAAGCCTGATGTAATCCTTACCCTAAACCTAATCTTAACCTTATCCTAATTACCCTTTGTCTGTTCTGTTCATATAGAACTGTACTTTTAACAAGAAATACGACAACACTTCACTCCGTGTGTTTTACGAAGGTACCCTAAAGACTTCTGGCAGTTATGTTTGCAATCGATGGTATTTTACATTTGATGGTGCAGAACAAGCCCGTAGCTGGCTGATCAATTTCTGGGGGGGCACTCACTCCAGAAAGAATGTAACCGACCGTTTGAGATGAAAAAATTTTTTTTCCGGAATTTATTTCGGCGACCTCCCCCCCCATACCCCCCCCGGCGCCAAAAAAATTTCGCTCAGTGTACCATTTTAGGGGTCAAAAATTTTTCCGGACATACTCCATTTTTCCGAAACCTAACAAAATTTTTCAAAAATCACAAAATTTTCCACAAAATTTACAGAATTTTTTCCATTATTACAATTGGTTCCCAGGCCCTTTATCTCAATTTTTCATACCCGATTTCCGAGTGGGGGGGAGGGGGGGCACTGGGGGGCACTGCTCCACCGAGTGAGGGGGCATTGCCCCCCCCCCAGGCCCCCCCAGCTACGGGCCTGGTGCAGAATGTACAAAACCAGCGACTATTGATGGAATTGTTCACGTCTCCATAACCCACGAATACCCCTATCGTTACCGCCATATTGAAAGCTACTGTAACCAGGTTCCTAAAGGATACATACGTGTGGGGTTCTGGATAGGCAAGTGTCAGGGTAGTAGTCTCGGAAGTGGTCATACCGGTTGGAATTCCATGTCTCGTATTGTGATTGAAGAAGTACCACCTCCTCAAGCTTGACATTTAAGAAAAAAGAGTGTCACTCATACCATACTATATGACCAAAATATACAACTGTATAAGTTTTACAGAAGATACTTAAAAAGTAAAAAACTGAAATCATGATCAGTTATATTTTTTTAATTTTTGATGTAATGTTGATTGTCAGAGAAAAATTCGTTTGTTAAAATTTAAGATTAAATTAATCAATTTCTTTAACGTTACCTTAAAATGTAATAAAAAAGGAAAGTTTCAAACAATGCGCTGGCCTGGAGTGCTCAATGGAAGAATTGCGATTTAGATCAGGAGGCCATGCTTGCGTGACGCCCGAATTAAGCCGCACGGAAAATATTGATTTGCAAAATGAAGTATCTCAAAAACATACTGTTTTTCTTTGGCGTTCTCTCTCTTTACAAAAACTCTGGGGCCGGTTATAGAAAACTTTTAACTCTAAACTGGAAATCCAAAATAGAAGGAAATATGAAGAACATTTCGAATCACGACAGGAAAGGGAAAAAAAGTAAATTTCATGTTTAATTATGTATGTCCTGTAGTATGGAGCTCTTTTGTATCTGTGAAAGTCTTCAGAAAAGGTTGCACTGTTTTGGTTTATTTTGTGTACTGTGTACATGGTCTAACAATTAGGTTGAAGAAGGCGAAGAAGATTGAGGTGATGCATCAGCCAGCACAGAAACAGGTGGGCAGGTATTGTTCGTAATGAACAAGTGAAATTATTCTCCTTTTATACATGGTCGCAACCAGATACTGCTTTGACAAACTTGAATATTTTCTATATCATGCCATTGATTGATGTTTTTTATTTCGCCCGCAGCTACGCTGCACTTCACCTCCGAACACAAGATATTTTTATCGTGGTGCTAAAGCCTAGTTTCCATTTGGTCGTTAGTTGTCGCTGGCACGACAAGTGGCTGATGTAATAGAGTGTCAACAAAACTTTACAAAACTCTGCAATCACTAAGACTGATTTGCATATAACACACAGAAAGATTATTATTATATTAGACTATTTAACATCTACCGCTTGTCGTGCCATTGACAACTAACGACCAAATGGAAACTAGGCTTAAGTAGTCTAAACTAGCACGAGAGTTAATATAGCAACCTAAAATGATCGTGTTAGTTTTGTGATTGGCTTAAGTACTAAACATACAGAGGTCTCACTTCGCGAGAAAAACGTAAGGTAGTTTTTATGTTCTTAGCAAGTGTCCTAACCAGAGGCATTCACCCCCTAGAATATTGCATTTCAACATGTTTTTAGGGGGGTGACAGCTTCTCTCTAAGGCACTTGTGAAGGAAAAATCCCCTTACGGTGAAATTAATAAGAAATGGGACCTGTGTATGGTATTTAGTGAGACCTCTGTATGAGAGCTGAGAAGTGAGAGTTCGCATGAGAGTACCAATTTTCAGTGCCCATGCTAGTTGACCAATTCCAAATTGAGGGTCAGGAATCATTAAGATTCTTATTAGGGACCAGGGTCATTATTTATAGCGGGGGCGGGGGGGGGGGTGGTAACGAAGAGGAATGCTTTTATGCTGACAATCTTGCTGATCCAACCATTGCAAAGTCAAAAAAATTTTACCTCACTTCAAAATTCAATTGAAAAATAGATACCCACTTCTCTCCATAAAGAATACCATTAGTTGTCAGACCGTGACATATGGCAACCTTGTCAGACCGTGACAAGGTTTCCTAGAATTAACGTGATGAAAGATGAAAATTTGACTATCTTTGAACCCTTCAAAGCTGTGTTTATATTTCAAAATTTCAAAGCCTATTGGCTTGACCTTGGCCAGGATTTCGCTTTCGCTGATTGGCCGACAAATTAAATAAACAAAACAACGTAAGCAAACTCATGTCAAGGTCTGGCAAGGCAAAGGACAGGTTAAGCCATCCTTCATCATGTGAACAGAGGGAAACCTTCAATAAAAGCCGACACAAGTTGACGATCTATACGAAGTTGAAAATCTGTTTGCTAGTTTTACTCTAAAATCAAAAACTCATCTTTAAAACAACATCCTATGTACCAACTTAGATAGATTTCTATAGAAAAGGAATGTTTTTTTCAAATAATCAGTGTTTTCTTTCGCATTCTGAACTAAACAGAAATAAGTTCTTTGCATGCTTGCATGGCGATAAAATATAATAGTTTTGTTTGTGGGGAAAAAAATTATTTATTTATTTAAATAATTTAAAAAAAATTTATATAAATTTTTTTTTATTTATTTACGGATCGAAAGCTTTGCAGTAATAAATTTACGTGGTGTTTCCACAAACAAAACTATTAAACAGAAATATTTGTTGACTAAATATATAAAATCCCAGCTCTCATTATGACGACAACAGTTTATGATTAAGTTTGACACATGTTTTTAAAACTAAGGTTTATGAAATTTTGCTAAAAGGCAAGGCCAACATGTTTCCCCAAACATTCTATACAGCAAGTATAAAAAACAAATTGACGAAAATGCTAAATTATCTTGAACAAGAAAACAGAAAGGAAAATATATGAACATAATCTAATCAGAGTTGGAATCGTTTCCAAAATTGAACCGTTTCTAGTCTGATTTAAAATTTATAGAAAACAGATTAATTCCGGATGCTGTCAATAATGACCACAATGTTCTCGATAAAAGTTAAAGCGAATGTTTCGATGAACGTTGGTTTAGCAATTAATTTTTGGCTAAATGAGTAAATGAACCGAGTCAAACATTCATTCTATATGGCAAGAGCTACTGATAAGTTAAGAGAAATATCAAATTTTCTTGCATGAGCAAACATTAGGGTAAAATATCTAGGGTGTGGTGTAATACGAGTAGTTAAAATGGGAGAGTTTAAAATACAGTGCAAAGGCTCGCAGTAGGATCAGTTGTAGTTCAACTTCGTCAGGAAAGTTGGAAAGATTAAGATGGAGTCTAAGTTCGTGATTTTCTTGTTGTTTGTCTTCATGGCTGACATGACTTCGGTCGTCAACCGTCAGAGTAAAACTACGGTGAGTTTGTCGTGTTGTGATATCTAGGCAGTAGGGTTTACGTACGGTACATTTACTGGTAATTTAGGCAAAAGCAAACATTTAATCATTTATATTGGACAGCTGTATCAGTTCTCGCTAGAAGACAAGTCTATCAGCCCTTATTTTCTCCGTGTTATACTACAGGAGGAAACTTAAAGTAAACTACGTTATTTATACTGGCCCATACAGGATACCTCAGTGAGTTCTAAACTGTTGTCCCTTCACGTTTAGAATAAGGACAATCGCTTATTGCCCCATGCAGTGAAAGCTCAGGAATGGATTTACTGTGGGAGTGCAGGGGTGTGGACAACGAACTCTGGATCTGGCTGGATCAATCCCTGTGTTAGCTACAAGACGAGCTACCTAATTAATCAAACTTATTTTATTTATACTAGACATTTGATAGCTCTACGAGGTTTGTCGAAGTTGTTTTCATTCAACTTCCAGTATAAGGACCATCTTGTATTACTAACTGCCTTATTATACCCTCAACAAATCTTTGTCATTTTTTATTAGTCTTCTCAGGTGACCTGTGGTTCTGCAGGTATCCCGGATATCCCTGGGATTCCAGGAAATCCCGGAAGAGATGGTATACCCGGGTCACGTGGTCCTGTGGGAGCGAAAGGGTAGCCTGGGGAGAGAGGAGATGATTACGTAGATCTGGTGAAGTCAAATTGGAAACAATGTGTTTGAAAGAGAGATGATGGCAAAGACACTGGCTTGATACAGGTTTGAAAAATTAAAGATAATATGTATATTTAAAGGTGATGTAAAGTCGTTGATGTAAACAAACGTTTTGTTCACATTTTGAACTCAGTGCTACAGTTGTAAAATATGGTTAGATATATATTATACAGAATTTTTAACACTCTTCTGCTTCGCTATGCTTGTAAACTAATACAGACTAGAGATTCAATTCAAGAAAGTTCGGAAGGTGCGAAATATTAACAACGTTCCAGTGGTCGGGTGCGTTTCTAAAAAGAAGAACTGCAAGCGGGCTAAGTTAATGTACAAAAATTAAGAATTTTGAAATCGAGTGTTTGAACTGACTTCTGTCAAACATTGTAATTTACATAGTTTTATTTAAAATCTGATTTTAAAGTTCTAGTACTTTAGTGTCCTGTAGGACATCTTCCTTTAGTTTCTACTGTGAATTAATTTATTAATGAGATTGAGAAAGTATTCTTACAACCTACTTTGGTAGCAAAGTTTGTTTAGTTCACACTTGGCTAAATTTCCGGCGAATTTCAAAACGACGAATTCTTACCCTGCAACTAAACTTTAACCATTGCCCTTATCCAAACCTTATCGCAACAAATTTAAGCCCGGTTTACACTACGCTCAATTGTAGGTACGGTATGGACAAAATTGGTACCCGTGTACGGAATAGTGGACCCCCCCCCCATATAAGTGACGTAAGCATGATTGACGTTTGCATGAAAGAAACATTAAGAGCATGTTGATGGGGGGTCGTTTATTATTAGATTATGTGAGACGAGACAAAACAAAACAAGTGATTTGTGAGCGTGAGAATTCTATATTTTTATACAAATAAATGTAATTTGTCTTTGTGATTTCTGTGGTTGTATACCTGTTAACAATTTAACAAGAGAAGTTCGGTATATAAGTGGTGCCGTGACAAGGATTGAACAAAAAATCGAACGGTAATTTAAATATTTAACGAGTTATTTAACGACAACAACACATTATTTGGTCATGTAAATACGAGAATTTATCGATTTGTACGACGTGGAACATATAACAATGAGCGAGGAGGCAGCAGAAAAACAGAAGGAGGTTGAAATAGACAAGGAAATCGAAAAACTAAAGTACTATCTCGAGCCAATTGACGATATTATTGAAGAAGGCGATTACGCAGAGATCGAAGTTGTAAAGAAACGAACAGACGCCATATTTGATAAAGTAAATAATCTTGTTGCAAGTGTACAAGAGCTTAAAATTGATCGAGGAGCTGAAACTCAGAGAGCA